GTAAAGGTGTAGACAGCTTCACAGTACAGTACAGCTGATGGGAAAGAGAAAGGGAACAGGCTCAGGTTAAACAATATTCATATCTTTTCATTTTGCTAGCAGCAATTCTCTGTATCTCTGGAATCACTTTCACCTCCAGTTTTCTGGCTTCCCTGCAATGAAGTCAAAGTTGACACAGACTTCTCTTGCTGCGTCCTGTCCCCTGCATACTGATCCCATGGGCTGGGCAAGGGGGGGGCTGAGCGTGGCACAGGCGCAGGGGACAGGACATGGCATCCAAACCAAAATGAATGCAAAAGGGGAGGTAAATGGAGCTTTTTAGCTGATTTTCATTCCTGACTGATTACTTAACAGGCCAACTACTTAGCATGAGCATTGTCTGCTTTAAGTGTCAGCACATAAAAGTGCACCCATGACTATTAGCAAACAGGGCTGGAACATAAAAGCTGCTGTGCAGCCTGTGCTGCTCAGAATACTCATTTAGCATGAGACACTGGACATAATGACATCTGCATTTAAGTCCATTATACCAATGCATGTGATTTTTCTTTTCCTGGTTAGCAAATGGCCTCATATTTTTCAAATTATCCTCTGAGGTTCTGAATGACATGGTGAAGGATAATTAACCAGACTCAAGGATGGATGAGGCAGAAAAGGGGTGTTCTCCTTTATCCATTGCTTTGTAATAATGAAATAAGGGGCAGTCCACTGACAGAGCCACCAAGCTCTGCTGACAGAGCATCCCAACCCGATTGGAGTCAGCCAACTGGGAAAGATGTGGATAGAAGTCTTTTGGACTAGCTGGTTCCCACTGGAGTCAAGCTTCACAAGAAGTAGGATGATATCACTGCCCCAGGACAGATATATACCTAAAGTAGGCAAAATATCCATTTGCTGTGGTCATGTTTTGAAATATCATTGTGTTGAAGATCACAGAGAAATATTTTTACTGTTTGGCAGGTTCTGCTTGGAAGTAAAAACAGGGGCTTGTGCTCTCGAATGCTATGACAGTCTTATCTTCCCAGTCAGCAACTTCACTGCTCAGAGCCTGGTCTCTGCTGGGTGATAGATGGCCAAGTTCAGGCTGGTGGGATATGGCCAGGGCTGTGTGTTAGAGCCAATGCTAAATACTTTTTGTTCGAGAGTTTCTTTTGGTGTGCGGAAATTGGAAGTGCTGCTCCTTTCTGCTCTCACTGTCCACACAAGCACCCCGCCAGCTCAGGTGCTTGACAGTCCTGAGCTCTCCAATCCCCACCACAAAGATGAAGCACTAGTGTTCAAACACCTTCCCAACACTGCTAAATTTGCCCATCTGCACACACACTTATGAGACCAGCAGCAGCAGTCAGGGATTCTCCTGGTGAGCCCAGGACCCAGTCAGGCATTTCTCTGAGCCGCAAGTTAGAGGTGGGTGGGCCTGTGTGTTATGCAAGGGAGAAGTAACAGTAATACCAGTTTCCCAACACCAAAGGATCAAGAGTTTCCACGGACACCACTGTGAGTCTGTGCTTGGCTGGCTACAATGGGAATTGCCATTCATCATGGTATGAGGGGGCTTAAGCTGTCTCAGAGCACGTTGTCAGTTAACCAACGCTTAATAGAGAGCAATCTGATCAGTACAAGACACAGCCTCGTAGCTAAAAAGCCTTAAATGTTTCAGATGCAGCAGCTTCTGAAGTCTTCCAACACCTTCTGCAGTACTCATTATTATTTCTCTGCTGTTGAGAGGGAGCAGCCAACGTAGGCACTTTGTGTTCATTATCCAGAGTAATATTCACTGGTCTATTTAATTAATGCTTAGAAAATGTACTTGATGAATTATAAGTTACTGGGGCAGGGGAGGGAGGGGGAATGCAGAAATAGATTAACGTTGGCTGATCTTTTAAACTTTCTCCAAAAATATTTCTTTGGTTTTTACACTCAGCAAGTCTCATGGGGTGTCCCCCCTTCCTACACACAGCTAATTTCTCACAGCCACAGTTGCTGACTATCAAGGAACCTCTTGTAGGAGCTGCTGAAGGAAAAGCTGTTTGCTGGGTGTACTGCAAGAGATGTAGGTAGTGGAGCAGAGGTGTTGGGCACATTATACTGCCTCTTTCTCTATCCAGCCCATCCATTATATCCTGGATACATCAGCTTCACACCACATGGAGGAATGATTCTCTCAGGGGAGTCCTCAACAGAAATCTGAGAGTGCCCCTCGAAACTGATGATCTTGAAACATGCACAAGAAAGGGCTCATAAGCTTAACAGGCAAAACAGACAGAAGGAGGCAGAGAAGGGAGCGGTATTTTCTAAACACAGCACACAACAGCCCAAGCAGCTAAATTATTTTCATAAGGTCATGAAGGAAACCTGTGTCTGACTTGGGAATTTAACCCAGATTTTTGTGCTTGGTTCATTGCCTTAGCAGCTGGATGCTTCTGCCTGCCTCCTTTGTCACTGACACTGGTCATTGTAAAGTGTGATTTCCCTCACCATATTTGGAAAAGGTGGTAAGAGGAGGAGCTCTGACAGAGATTCACCATCAATGAGGGGAAAGGAAGAGTCTTTCCCTCCCCTTTCTGTCGTTACAGCACCAACTGTGAATTCGGGGGAGTCTACTCCAGTTCGGGTTTTCTGAGCTTGCCACACAGAAAATCCCATAAGAGTTCCCTTTGCAAATCTGTTTTCTTTTAAGTAGCACCAATTTCCTGGTGCACATGTTTTGCATTTGCCTGGGTGCATGTGTGAGAGCCAGTAGCTCCCCAGCTCGCTCTCCACCCTGGAGATCGCTTGCGAATTGGGTTTTCTTTGTGAGGGTGAAGTATCATGTGCAGGCTCTGTGCTCAGAGAGGCTCAATTTTGTACAGAAAATTATCTGTGTAGGTGTCCATGTGGAAAGCCTTGGGAATGCTCCTTGCAGCCTTAAGAAATGCAATATTGCCCTCTAGCGATGGTGAGGATGGTCTCGTCTGAGCTGGTGAAATAAAAAGCGTTTTGGCTAACCTTCAATGAGATTCAAAATGGAATAAATGTGTTCCTGTTTTCTTCTGACCTTGGAATTAAAGATCCTACCGTCATAACTCAGAGAGCACTGGTAGTGGTGATAAGCAGGGAAGGTTGTTCAAGAATCACAAAATGTGTAAAATTAGCATTATTCTCCATGAATTCAGCAGACGGAAAGCCAGCTGCACTCACAGAGCAGATCTAGTAAGAAGGTTCCTTTTTTAATGCAAAATTTTTTGCATTTCTAAAGCCAAGTATATTTTTATTTGGAAAAAAAAAAAAAAGGAGAGAGAGAGGCAGTTTCAAGTACAGGAGATGAAACACTGTGGAAAGCAGAAAAAAATAAGAAAAAGTCTAATCTTTGTGTTTCATCATCACTGTATTCAGATGTTGTGAGTTTTGGGGGTTGGAGGTTTGGGGGGCTTTTTTTTTTTGGTTGGTTAGTTGTGGGTTGTGTTTGGTTTTTTGATTCAAGTTTTATTTTTATTTCTTGTTTGAACCCTTCTGGAGGGGGAGAAGGAGGGATAATAGAGGAGCCCTTCAGCAGATGAAAAAAATGTTTCTCTCACTCTAGTAAGCAAGGAGCTGGTTCTGTCAGGAAATAGAGTGTTTTGAATACCCTTCAGAAGACACTCAGGAGCATTACAAAGCCTTGACCTTTGCCCCTAAGAAGGTTGTGTTTAAGGCCCTTGCTTCTGCAAATAGCTCAATGTGGACAATCCCTCCAGTGCTTGTGTGAAGCCCCAGGAGCGTCCACAGGTCTCTCGGCTCCTCTCCCAGACAGCGGGGTCAGGGAGTGAGGTTTCTCTGTAACTGGACCCCGCATGTCAGCCCAGATTCCTCAGGAATTTGGTTATTTTAAAGTCCCTGATGCAGACATCATTTCCCTGGCACCTTCCTCATTCTAATTGCCTCTGACAAGGCACGATAGTACTGGAATTTATGTATGGAACATCGCTGTCACTGCACTGCAACTTAAAGATCACTGCAAAGCAGCATGGGCAGACAGAGCTATTTATTTTTCCTTACTTAAAACACTAAGTGAATGCAAAATTCACTTCAATCATTCACTGAACCAATCCAGCTTTCTCTGTTACTACAGGAACACACCGCATACCTGTACATAACGATCAGTCATCACATTGATAGTATCCTGAGCTTTTTTCCCCCCAGAACTTCACAAGGCGAAATTGGAGCCAATTCAAGCCAGTGACAAAACTCTCACGCACAGAGTTCACTGCCAAAGGATCAGACCTTCCAAGCAGGCAGGACATGGAGTACTGAATAAATGCATACGTATCATGGGCTTTCAACATAATTGTAAATATTTTGGGCGATCAGCCAACGCAAGAGAGTGGGTTTTTCTGACTCGGAGGGTTTGGACTTTCTTCTGAGGTCTGATTAGTCATCTCAGCTCCAAAATAAATAGATTATTATGCTTCCCTTTCATCCCCAGCATCACTACTCATAGTACTGGTGAATTGTGAAAAGTTAGTAACTACTGCTAGTTGCTCACTCGGTGACCATAGCTACATAATGTAAAGAAGCCTTTATAAAATTTGCCTTATGCAGAGCTGAAGACAGCAGGAGAGGAACCCAGAAGTGCATTTCTGTCAGTGAATATTTTTACAAGAAGCAGGTTAATAGCACAGAAATGGTTACGATAGGTGGAGTGAAGAAGAAATGCCAAAATGTGATGGTGAACAAAGGGGAACCTTACAGGTAAACAAAATAAAGGATTATTTTGAGCCTAAAAACAAAACAAAGGGTTATTTAGAAACTAAGTCATTCACTTGATGATCCAGTTCCTTTGGTATGGCTGGGGTGGTGGTGACTGATCATGCCCTGGAGCCTGCACAAGCCTCCTTCACTACCCCAAAACAAAGAAAAAAGGTTCATTTTTAGTACACTCATCATGACTGCGTTGACCATATTTTTCAATGTAATAAGTGCATTTCCATGTTTTGTCTTAGTTTTCCCTCATTCCTAACCCCTCTTGCTTTCCCTTTCAGGTTCTACATTGAAAGCATCTCCTATCTGAAGGACAATGCCACCATCGAGCTGTTTTTCTTGAACGCCAAGTCCTGCATCTACAAGGTAAGGACTCAGGGAGCTCTGTGTGGCATCGGCCACATTTTCTGTCTGCATTTTCTGTCTTGAAATTCACACCTGGACTTTCAGACTTTCCTCCTCTTCCTCCTCACAGCCTCCCTCACTCCTCTACCTCCAGCCGCCCCAGCACTTGGCAGCAGCTTCCCTGTCAGAGGGAGGTTCAAAGGAAAAACACCCCTGAAAGCACCTCTTGTGGCAGGCAGGAGTGAATTTGCACTGCTAAAATTATAAACTGGCTTGTATTTAGAAAGAAAGGTCTGAGTTTGTGTTAAAAACTCGAGTGGATGTCATGAGGGTTTCCCGCCCAGAGGGGGCGGCAGTGAGGCGTGGGCGCCATATTCTGGGCTGGGCGATGGGGGAGGGAGGGTGTGTGTGAGGGGGAAGAGCTTGTGAGAGGGAAGGATGGAATACCCTGACTTGGAAGGAGCCCATTAGGATCGTCGAGTCCAACTCCTGGCTCTGTCCATACCAACCCTGAAAATCGCACCATGTGCCTGAGAACATTGTCCAAACGCATCTTGAAATCTGCCACGCTTGACGCCATGATCACTTCCTTGCGGAGCCTGTTCCGGTGCCCAAGCACCCTCTGGGTGAAGAACCTCTTCCTAATATCCCACTAAACCTCCCCAGACACAGCTTCATGCCATTCCCTCGGGTCCTGACTCTGGTCACCAGAGTAAAGAGATCTGTGACTGCCCCTCCACTGTCCCTCGTGAGGAAGCTGCAGACCACCATGAGGTCTCCCCTCAGTCTTCTCCAGGCTGAACAAACCAAGTGACCTGAAGTTTGTGGGGCAGCAGGAGTCTGTGGGTATATGTGTGAGTGGACTAAGGGTACCTGTGGGTATGTACTGAAGATCACCTTTTACAGGAACAAGCCATGCACTGAGAAATATTTTTTTCTATCAGGAATAGCCCTCCCTGGTAGGCCACTGAAACACCAGCCTGCTGTCCCCGGCTCTGTAGCTCAGAGCAGCCCCTGGTGAGGTAGTCTGTGCGCCAGAGATAAGGGCATCCTGGCACAGCCTCCACTCAGAGTAGTGCCCTCAGCAGAGCAGTGAAGCTGATCCCCCAGATACCACAAGCCAAACATACACATGAAAGGACTGGGTGCAGAGAATTAACCAGCCCCAGACCACGCTGAGGTGGAGATTGGCAGTGTGCAGACTTAGCCAGGTGGGCTGGACGTCTGGGACTGGGAGAGGTTTTTCAGCAGCTGGGATTCCCTGGGAGGATCCCTTCTACCTCCCTGTGTGCTGGCAGAGGCCATTCCTGATGACTCACCTCCATCTGCCAGGGAGGAAGCAGTAGGAAAAGACAACTGTAGTCAGGGAACAATTTTACTCACATCCCACAACTCAGCACATTTGTGACCTGCTAAGCCAAATAGCTTACAACGAACCCAGAGCCTTGCTTGACATCTACATGTCCTAAAATGTAGGGGCTAACTTTGCATCTTCTAAAATGCAGAGCAGAAGCCAGCAAATGCCTTTTTTCCAGTGCTCAGGAACCAGGCAGGGTCGCTGAGCTGAGCTGTGCAGCGCTTTGCTCTCAGGCAAGGCTGCAATTAGATGTGCTTAGTCAGCCCTCCTCAGCAACAAGCTCAGTGAGCATCACATTTTGGTTCCTGGGGAAAGTTCCTTTTTGAAGTCTTGCCAGGAAAAGCTTACACCGTTGTTCTTTTTTTGGAGAAAGCTTAATAATAAGAGGAGAGGAAAAGAAATAAAGAAAAAAAGTGCCTACAGACCTAGGTTGGTCTATTTCAGTCTGACCTCTCCTGAAACCATTACTTTGCACATTCAAGCTGACTGTCATCTCTACCCAAAAATAGCCCTGTTGAATTCCCAGTCTCCCATAAGGATCCTTCCCAATTTAACTTCCAGCCACAGTAAGCCATGCTGTGCTATTAAAAAAGGCGCTGAATTTGAAAGTTGGGTGCAAAGTATCTGCTAAGACTCAGGGCAAGCACCCACCCAGCACGCCTGCAGGACTCCTGTAGCTGTAAAAAGGGGAATTCAGTGTTTAAGCACAGCCAGAGCTTCTTGTTCCTGCAGCTAGCAGGTGGTGTTGCATGCTCCCAAACCTTGAAAGCTTCCTTGTTGCACCAAAAGTTTCCTTGTTGGGCTTCCCATGAATACCTCCACCTCTGGTTCTGCTGCAGCCCAGAAAGACCATACTGTGTATGAAATAAGTGTAGTTCCTAATGCTGTGCTGGAACCTCAGACCTTCCCCTGTTAATTCTCCAGACAGACGTCCTCAAACATCCCCATACACAGAGATGCTCAAGCTGGGAAAGAACAAAACTGAGGCCTGTTTAGTTTGGGGCTGCTGGTCACTGGGTTGCCAGCTGGCTCTGTGCTAGGGCTGTACTCCTCTGGTTGTGCCCACCACTCCCCCTCAATCGCCCTGTTGTGTAATGAGACATTCATGAACTCACACACCCAAACCCTCACACAGGACCAGCAAGATACTGTTGCTCAGAAAGGCCAAGCCACGTTTGTACTACCAAATAAGACAGGGCTTGGCATCAGACGCTGTCCCTTGATCAGTCAGGCTGTTTAATTACTAGCACGTTCTGGCGTGGGTTTTGGCGTGTGCCAGCAAGCTCCGTCCCAGGCGTTGCTTCGGCACTGTTCAAGGTTGTGCACCTGTTCCCAATAGGCTACACAGTGGTGGAAACCCCATCTGGGACTGGGGCAGGGAGGAATAGTGTTTAGTCCTCTTGCACCCGCCACTTCCCTTGGCACAAGGTTCATCCTTGGTGCAGGTGCCTGTGTGAGTCAGGCAGTTCAGCTGAAAGGGGAAAGGTGTGTTTATCGCCCGCAGCAGAGCTGCTCTTCGCTCCCCAAGGACTTGTTATGAAAGAGGTGAAGAAATCACTTATTTTAAAAAGCTGGCGCTGGTGAAAGCCAAGGACACCTGGATCTTACCCTGTGTTTTGTTCCCTTTACTTTTGATTTTGCCAGAGACAAGCCAATGCAGCAATTGTGGCTTGTAAATGAGGTGTGGCCGTGACTTGGCTGAAGCGTGGATCACAGCAGTGATCTATATTTAGATCACTCACTTCTTGCCAGATGAAGTAAAACATTAAAAACAGCAGCTTAAATAAATACAACAGAAAAATCACAAGAGTGAGCTGAGCAGTGATCCAGTTTACCAGTCCATGTACATAGGAGACAATGTAGGAGTTCTAGTTGCAGAATAGAGATCTAAACAGTATCTCAGTGAAAGCCCATTAGCTTCCCAAAGGCAGGGACCAAAGACTCAGGAAGAGCACACTTGGCCACAAGACTAGTGCTCATCTATCCGTCCCAAGCATCCTTGATACCGGGTCTGCATCCCAAGCATTCAGACGAAGCAGTGCCTGGACCCCTTGGTTTTGTGACTGCCATCTCAGGCACAACAGAAGCATCCTGAGAGGACCTAATGGGACCATCAGTGTCCTTCATGTGAGCAGCGTGTCCAAGCAAACCCTTCAGGATTGCTTTCATCACAGGCTGGATCCTATAGAATGGAGCAGAGAAGATCTACCAAAAGATTTGCTGTCACAGCTCATTCTCAAACCACCCCCAGCCCCAGTGCTTGTGGGGGTGAAAGGGCCAAAACCAGAGCTCCCATCCTGCACATGGGAATATGGCTCTTTTTGCTTTGAGTTTACCCTGGGCAAGGATCAGAGTTCGGGGGGGACTTTGACACAACTTCAGTGAAGACAAATTCTAATTTCCTTGCTTTTGTAAGCCAAGGACAAAGCTGTGTTCCCTTTGCATGGGTGCATGGGTGACAGTTGGGGGCAAAAAAATGTATTCCCTAGGCTACCTGTCACTGAATCACACAAGAAAATAAAATTTACCCTGATCCTCAGCCTTCCACCTGCTTTCTCCTTGCTCTTCCTTCATGCCACATTCAGTTATGCTTCATTTACCAAGCCATTACACCAAATATTTGGCTTTCTCCACATCTGAGTGGAGTGGGCAGGTTCTCCCTCCCTTTAGTTTCCAGGAGCACAGAGAATGCTTTGAAGCCAGGGGAGAAGACTGGCACCACATGCTTTGCTGTGCAGTAGGCAGGAGGAGATGTATGTCCTTCTTACAGCAGCTCAAACTCAACTCTCTTTTTCTTTCTTGTTTTCTTCACCTTTCAAGGAACTCATTGAGGTTGACAGTGAGGTGGTGTTTGAACTGGCTGCGTACATCTTGCAGGTAAGCACCCACCTTCTCTCACTTCGTGCTTTGTTATGTTGCATTAAATCTTTTGATTTGCCAGAACCACAACAGCTGTATGGCAGTGTAGGAGTTCCCTCAATTGCAGGAGAAAGATGTCTTTACACAGTTTTCATGGTTTCTACCAAAAGGAGTACAGAAGGCTCTCAAACCAGACCTCTCCATGCAGGGAGCAGATACTACTGCTCAGCATTTTGCATACAGAAATGTGTATTATATTTGCACCAACACAGGTATCCAAGACCCTGGAGTATAATGTACAGCCAGAGAAAATCTAAATGATGAATGCAAATTCCTAGGTGAAATCCACATGCAATGGGTTCTTCTTCAATGACCCTCCTTGCATTTGTTTTCCCAATGGGGTTTGGTCCTCTGATGAGCTCCATAAGTTTCTACATATGCAACTATCTGTATTCTTCAACGTGGGCAGAATGGCTTAAAGACTTTCCAAAATATTGTCTTTTGAAGTTCCGCTCTTCAAGAAGAGGGAAAAGGGTCAGAGGGCAAATGACCAGCAGTGTTTGGTAAATACCTAATTCCCAGAAAAGAATCTTCTCAGGGTAACGAAGGTGGGTTATGTGAAAGTTCTCTTTTTAGGAGCTTGACTGTGGGAGCAGATCAGACATAATTGTCAGATGATCCTTGTTCCCCTCTCTTACCGTCTGATTTTTTTCCCATGAGCCATGAAGCTGTGAGGAGCTGTGTGAGCAGAAAAGCCAGCTCATCAGAGTGCACTAATAAATAACAATGCACTGCACTTCTAGAGCACTCGCCATGTTAAAGAAGCAATTAATGCGTAGGGATTTGAACCTTCATTAAAATCATTTTATGTAACAAAAATGGAGTGAGAGAGTCAGGATGGGGGACTCAATTAACAGCACATTATAGAAACTGCATATTGGCTGTTGGGGGAATACACATCAAACAACGGGCCCATTGTGAGGAGCAGCAATGGGGTTATGAATCTATTGTCTGCTCATCCTAATGAATAACTTACGTGCTTAGTAATTGTACAGCCAGATCCAGAGCTCCTGCCATAACCCTTGTTGCTGGGATTGTTTCTTGCCACAGATACAGGATGTTACGTGTATTCCTGTAGTAGTTTGATGTGTAACTTAATGAAAATACTCAAAACAAGCCACACCTCTGCTCTCTGTAACCAGAAATTATTACAGCCTGTGTTTGTGACAGGATCCAAGTAAAACAAATGGGATCATACTGCATTTTGTTCTACTTCTCGCTGCAACATTTAGGTCAAAGCACTGAAGTATGAAGAATATACCCTACAAAATTGTTTTTTGAATTTAGTATGCTCATCCCTGTGCAGGCCAGGGCATATCCTTTGGGCCTTTCTATGTGTTGAACTATCATCATGGCATGCTCGAGGAGTCCTTCCTACGAACCAGAGAAGTGCTTGTCTGTCCTTCAGTTCACTCAAAGGGAAATGGGAAGATAGTAAAGGTCTGTCAGAACTCAAATGACTTAGTCTGCAGCCTTATTCCAAATTGTTTTATTACCAGAACAAATTGAAGTACCACCAAAGCTCTGAACTTTACCCCAGCCTCAGGACTGAAACACCACTGGACGTGGGCTGACATGTTTTGTGGGTAGATGGATGGATGTAAAGACAAAAGACTTGAATGCAAAACCCAGTCCTCTTGGCAGTGGAAATTCCCTCATTTTCCAAATTACCTTCTTGCACTGTGCTTTCTGTGTAGCTAATGGCAAATGAGGTGCTTTAGCATGAATCATGTGAAAGGCATATTGTCTATGGAAAATACAAAATGCATGTTAAATCTATTGAGGAGGGCACGCACCAGATTCTGAGGGTTTGCCAAGTATGCAGTAAGACTCAGGTACTAATATAACTACTGGAGTGGAACATTATCCAGCCCTTTAACATCAGGCTGTGATGGTAACAAATAGAAATATCTAGATATACAAGCAAGGGAGCTAAATACTCCTCCAAACAGCCATCAAGGAGTTAGAGAAACTTGTGGCTTGCATCCCCTTGAAAGCTGACAGTCAGCAAGTTTTTTGAAAGTCTAGGTACTAAAAAATGGCCAGAATACTTGTAAAAAAAGTCAGAGGAGTTGCAGTCTCAGAGGCTGCAAGGCCACTGCGACTTCAGAGATCTCCTAGTAATGTAGCATCCGCATCAGCCCAAAAAAATTTAATTACTAGCATTACTTCCTGCAACTTCTTGGGTATCCACTAGCAGAATGGGGAATCATCTGGCCCTGTATTAGGCAAACCTTTTGTTTGTTAATCTGCCCAGCTCACTGCATGTATCATGGCACTTGACATTAGATACTGATTCCAAAAAATACATGAGGAATCAATTACAACAGGAAATTGCTGCTAAATGAATTTTGCAAATGGAAAATCTTGAACAGCCGTTTTCTTCTCTTTTTTTTTCCATTTTTAATTATAGATTTTTTATTTTTCTTCCTTGTTTTACAGGAGGCAAAGGGAGATTTTTCAAGGTAGGTGAACTTAAAAGTTTTTACCACTGTGTGCTTTGAGAATGAATCTGGTAAAATCACTGTGTGAGCCATGAGACTCAACTGTTGCTGTGTAGTGATTGCCTGTGTGAGCAATGCAGCTCTGTGTGTATGGCTAACATAGACAGCGGGTTTCCTGATATAATTTCTCCACCAAACACAGCCTTGGACCAGAGCATGCCTTGCAAACAGCATTGTTTGTAATTTTGTTGTTGACAAATCTCATTATGTGCTCATGAAGTTCAGGAAACAGACTAGTCTTCAAAAGGAAATTGCTAAGGAAATGACTCTACGATCACTGTTATATCACAGATCCAGCCAGAAGCAACATTAAAATTCCATGACTAATTGATATTTCAGCTCAAATTTGGACAGAGTTCTCAAAATCACAATTTAGATAATTGGGTTTGTTGAACTTCCGCTGTCCCTTGAGCCAAATCTTCAGACTTACAGTAAGAAATTTGAAGAGGTGACTGTACTTGGTGTTTTAGAAGACTGTTAATGGAATGCCCATGAATTATCATTTAAGTTGACAGTATCTGTCATTTACACATAAGTTGCAACCAAAGGTCAGGTGGTTGTTTGATATCTCGTGTAAGAAACATGAAAGTTCTTTGTGTGAAGCTCAGGAGAACTGACTATGCTAAGTATTTCACATACTCCATGTATTATTTTTGCTGACCTGGACGTGAGTTCAGCTGGAGGACCACAATATCCTCAAAAGTTAGTTTCAGAATGGGCAGTGCGTTGAATTGCCAGATGAGCCCAAAGAGATATCTTAATTTTGCCAGCATTGAGATACACTGAGAGAAGACCGTAATGATAAGAGGCTGTGAATAACAGGCAGGATCCACCATCTGGTGGTCTGGGACTTCTAGCCAGCTAAAATTTGAGTCAAATCAGTGAAAAGGAACAATGCATTGCAGATATCACCTGTCTGTTGTGGAGTCTGAGCTGACAGAAGGTAACCCTTGCTAAAAGGAAGTTTAAGTTCTGCCACAATATTTCTCAAAACCTTAACATGCAAAATCCTGACATTCATCTGACCACAGAACACACAAGGCCAGTCTTGCTTTGTTTTTCGGTTCTGCTGAATAACTCAGCTATCAGAAGTGTTTATTTAGAGGGTACTGGAGTGCATGTGGCTCTTTGACTTTTCAATCTGGTTTTCAATGCACTGCCAAGTGCTCAGTCCAGAAGAGTTGGGCCAAGAAGAGTTTTGCCATCCAGACCTGTGATGAACCACATCTTCCACTGGTTTTGCTATGAAGAACAATATTTAATGTTTCTCAGAATACCTTGGACGTGATAAAAACACACTCAGAAAGTGTACATTCAGGCTATGAGACACAGAATAGAGAGTAATAGGACTGAAAGTATTTTATCTTTGAGTATCCATTTCCAGACCATAAGTGGAAACAGCCAGTGGAAAGCACCCATCTGCTAAAAGTTGTATGTTGTAATAAAAGGAATGGTTGAGTTTATCATAGGCCACAAAGAAATGAGGAATCTTCTCTGAGGGCACAGAAGATTCCTCAACCCATGGTGTTAAGTCCTGCCTCCACATCAGTCATCACCATCACCAGCCCTATTAAAACAGCTCTGAATTCCTTCCACCTGTGGATCACAGTGGTTTGAAGTGTAAGGGGAAATCCTTACGTCCAAGTCAGACAGAGAAGGAGTGTCATAACAACAACTTGTTGATATTGCCAGGGATCTGAATTTCAAAATGGGCTTTGATGACAAAGAAATCTGCCATACTAGTGGAGTTTAAAGCCTATTCTTGGATGAAGGTAGAAGAATGCTGCTCTGACCCTCAATGGTGTGGAAGATTTGGCATCTCCAGTGATGTCTGTCCAGCAGCTCCTCTCTAATGTGCGCTGACATGGGTTTATGCGCTGGGTGAGATCCCAGTGCTACTGAAGTCAGCATGAGGTCATGGTGGTCAAGATTTTGCCTGCTGAGATTTGTGGTTATCATATCAGCAGTGTAAAATCTGGGAAATCAAGCCTGGGGTCAGCCAGAGGAACTGCAGTTGAAGGCAAATGTTCTGACTTCTCTTAGGGATGAAGTTAGCTTCAGTGTTTGCAGTTAGTTGATGTTGAAATACTGTTTAAAGCAGAAGTGGCTACTCTTGGAAACAGAGAAGCTTTGTAGTTTTGAATGTCTTGCTGCTGAGATTTAAGTGTTGTGCATGGCAGCATATGTTGTGTGAAGGTTGAACTCTTGAACTCCTGCTTTGTTTTTTAAGAAATAATTTAATTCTAAAGGGTTGCATGCTTGGAACACAGACTGCAGCATTCCCACACCTGTCCTGTCTACTGCCACCGTCAGATTTATAGCCTGTGATCTGGCCCTGATCCAGAAAAGTACGTAAGCACTGGCTCATTTGTAGTGATGGGAGAATTGCTGTTCCCCATGGGAGCCTTCCTGTCACTCACTGAGGATCACCTCAGATGCTGAGACAGTCAAAGCCAAACTGTCACAATTTCAGCTGCAGGTTGGCATCTGCCTGTGGTGGCCAGTGTGATTACCTCGAAATCCCACTGCAGCCAATTTGGAGGATCTGGAGCAGGTTCAGGACTCCTGAATGCAGTTACAAGTCTGCTATTTGGGCCTCTTAACAGTCAGCTTTCTATCTGTGAACTGATACAACGACAGCAGCTCCACTGCTGTTTTTGAGGAAATCATCCCATACCTCAGAATAATCACTGTGCCCATAGTGCTCCTCTTTACTTTCCTGAAAAGGGGCTCTTGTGCCATATCAAACACATTCTACATCCGTTGGTAGGGCATCATCATGCATGAGACTGTTATCACTGATTCTTACCACCTTGGGCATCACAACAACTCCCATTGTTCAGTAAGCCTGGAGAACACACAGTCCAAGTCACCCTCATCTGTTTTGAGCTAAGATGCCACAGTAGCCCTGACAGATCAGTTTAGCATCTGTAGTGGGCAATTCTTTTAAGCCCTTTTCCATTTCTAATGTGTGTTTCATTTCAAAAACAAGCTCATCAGAAATGCTTGAGCTCCTGAACCTGTTTAGATCAAGTAAGACAAGTATTTCTGAGAGTTTGCTCGGAGTGGCCTCATCCATCTCTTAGTTGATAAAGATTTAGGCAGAGCAAGGTTTAAAATAAAAAGCTATTCTCCTTAGGAAGTTCCTAGTCCTCCACACTGAAGGAGAGTGGTTTTCACATTATTTAAGAGAATCCCCAAATGCTTCAGCCAACAAGACTTAAGCAGGCTTACATTCAGGCTGAGAATTTAAGACAGTCAGGTATCCCTATTCAGCTGGTTCTTGGGTTGAACAAGACACTTAAGATTGGATCTGTGCTTTTCAATATTAGCTGAAGTCAATATTTTGACTTCAAAGGCAAAGAATCACTTGTATGAAGCTCCTAAACAAGCACCCTGCAGACTGACCTAAAGGTTATTAGCTCAAGCTAATCTTGTTTCTAGCTGGAAGCTGAGTCACGCTTGGTTGGCAGAGCATGGGCAGGACAAATTTCAGTTCCTTAGATGAACACAAATCCTACAGATATGTAGGCCTCTAGGCCTACACAGAGGAATGAAGCAGAGTGCCCTGCCTAATTTGGGGAGGTATATAGCATATTGTTAAAATAACTGAGATTTTTTTTTCCCCCTAACTTAATCCTACCAGATTTAGAGTCCAGTCCTAAAATCTTTGGGAATCTCACACCAACTTTGGTTGTAAATGTTTGTAATCCAGTTCATCAGCCTTAAACAGCATGTATGTCAAAGCAGCTGCAAATAACATATCCTGTTCATTTGTCCCTCGGTTTGGGGTGGGGAAAGGAAAACCCCTGAGTGAAACAAAATCTGGAACCATTGCAGCCAGCTCCTCATTGATAGCTTTCTTCCAGTTAAGCAGGATGAGACATTTCAAGTAAAGTCCAAGTATCTCCCAGCAACATAAGAAAGAATAACAAGGGAGGAAAGCTAACAGCCAGTTTCCTGTTAAGCAGAATTTCACAACAATTTCAACGTTTGGGCAGATGGCAATCTAACATAGTTTCAGGCTTACTTTTCTTTCTGTGTAACCAAGTGACATTTAACCAATTAGAATGTATTAAAGGGTTACAAAACCCAGGCTGCATTCTTGCAGCCTAATGGAGAAGATCCTAAGCACTGTACTTCAAACAGTGCCATCTAATCTGAAAATCTCAGACTCTGCATTTCCTCTTGCATTCTACAGAATGAAGTACCGTGCTGAGAAGAGATGACAACTTGAACCTGTACCTTTGTTTTATTACTGATCATTGTTATTACACATGCTGGAAAATGTATGGATTTCCTGAGACAACTGCATATGTAATCTTGCTCAAAATTATTGCAGCCAGTTTGCAAAAACTTGTTTTTCACAAAATGTTTATGAAATGGCTGGGCAGGCCTTTTGCCCCCATGTGTAGATAAAAATACTGAGAGATGGTGACTAGTTCATTTGGAAAAGACTCATTAAACAGGCAATATCAGAACCAAAACCAGAACCAGGAGTTCTGATTTCTAGGTCCATTTTTCAGTCAGTCAACCTTACTTCTGGCTATTCAACCAGCCTTCAGGAACCCATGCAAATGGCTTTTCCAGTTCAGTTTTCATACTGTTATTTAGTCTTTTAAGTATTATAATTTCCGCCATAGTGCAGGAATAAAGTGGTCCAGGGGACACAGAGAAAGTGTGTTTGGAGCTTTCCCCTGCATATTAACAAATCTGTGTCAAAAGCACCCTTCTGTATATATCAGCCCTGGAGGCTGGACACTTCCGAATGTAAAATAAATGCAGCACAAGTGACCGGATTAAACAAACACTTTCTAAATACAGTAATAAAATAAACACAATGAGATATTTCACTAGAAAGAGCATGAAATGCAGTAAGTACAAAACCACTAGTGATGCTGCTGGAAACATTTTAAAAATTGAGGGTTTTGGTATTTTAAAAGGAGCCAAAAGGAAAGTGACCTCGTGGCCAGTAGGTCAAATGCAACCTGAGTCGTTATTTTTTTTTCCTTTTTCTTGATTTGGCATCCTTTTGGGAGTCTAAATAATTAGTCTTGAGATGAGTCTTGCCAGAAGGCTTAGTGAATACATGGACCAGGGAATGAAATGCGTTTTTGCTCCTGGAAGTGATTACCTGAAATACATTTGGCACTTTGAGGCTGTGAGGCACTATCTTTATGATATTTTCTGGGTACTGAGCAGAAATGGTAATCCCACCCAATAACATCACTAAGAATGTCTTTTTCTCTGATTCTTAAAAGACTTTATCACAGTGCAAGCAAGCTTTGCACCTTACCAACAGAAAAGACAGAGCTGACTGGTGTTAGCCCTTTCTTTTATGGGAGCCATTAATGACTCAGGCTTTTCCCAGACCCTCCAAGACTGTTAGTCACCTATGCTTGCCCTATTTGATAGCTTTCTGGGCTCAGAAAGTCCCTGTTTGGAAATTACTCCGTGCTTTCCCAGAAAAGTGTTGGCGATTTCTCAACTTCCTTCTGTGAGCAGCCAGCCTCAAAAAGTCACCACTTGAGGGGCAGTTTCTGCCACTTGTGCTTCGATTTTCCCGCGTTCTATTCTTTTTTCCCAGTTTCTTTGAAAATGTCAAAAACTCAGTAAGAGCTGAGTATGCACATGCTGTGGAGGAGACAGCCCTGGGCAGACCTAGAAAACTCTAAACAGCAACAGCTTGTTTTCTGGGCTGTCAGTCACAGAACAGAGCAGCCAGATCAACAGATAGCACAGAGTGGAGCGGCTTCTTGTTCAGGCTTGTGCAGATATTTACCCGCCGTGGAAGAATAAATCTGAATAGTTGTTGAGCATTTGCACTTAGTCGGGAAGAGCTCTCTGATGGTTAAATGACCATGGGATTTGGGCAGGAGTGGGTGTTCAAATATTGTTTGTTGAGAGCCTTTTGGCTTGGCATACGAGGTGCTGCTGAGTGGTTTTCTATGTGCATAGCACTGCAGTGGTTGCCTTAGTCATTTGTTTTAAGTGTTGTTCTACACATCTTCACTCTGCAAAATTTGAACCTAATTGAGACTTGCACATCTCTCATAGATTTGTCTTGACTAGAATTTGCGGTCCTGTTTTAAAACTACTTAATTGATTGTCAGGGAACTACCGTAATAATAAATGTCTGTAGACATGCCCAAAATGCCTGCTATGGGATTTATGTCAGTGGTTTACCCTATGGCCCAACCTAGCAATTAACCTGCAGACTCCAATTAAGGCAAACCCACCAAGGTCTCAGGCAGAGCCTGCTGCTGGGATGTGCAAAAGGAGAAATGCTGTGGGAAGATTTTTACAACTGAAACAGGATCACCTCTCTACAAGCCACCATACAGACTGTCACAGAGAGAAGAACAAAACCCAGGGTGTCCTGGAATGTCCACGGGCTCCTTGAGTCTTTACAGATGTTAGGATATCTGGTCTACAGCTGTAGAAGCCAAGACTACCTGTCTGCCTGGCTACCAGCCCCATGGGGGAAGCCAGTGGGCTGGGAAATTTGGAGGTCTGGAAGAGGTGTCTCTCTCTGCAGCTCCAGGACAGCCACAGTTTTGGGGAGGATACTGGAAAGGGTACAAGAAGGCAGAAAAAAACTTCTACTGAAAAGTAAGCCAATAAACATGAATTCTTTGGCACTCCTCGGTGTCCTGTCTGGCCTTCTTGGCTGTGTATTTCTACAATTTTAAAAGTTAATAGCAGCAGTGCCTTCCTTCCCAAGCCTTTGAGGGTTTTTTTTTCTCATGTGCACGCAATTCCTTGTGTGTGTTTAAAAGTGGGAAGGGAGGCATTTGGGGTTTGTAGGAGAAAATCCCACGGTTTCATTTCATCTGTGAGAATCTGCTTCCCATTTCATGAGCCTTCCCTGCTCTCTGCTGTGCAGTGATGCTGCTCCGGCTGGCCAGTGTGGCTACTGGAGGTTGCAGGGAGAAGAATGAGCAAGATGATTGTGCCTGGTCCCGTGGAGGGTTTTGTGCAGCAGGACAAATTCAAATTGGAGTCTTATCAGTGAAGATGTTGTGCAAAGACCAGGTCACTGGGCAAGAGGCTAAGAACAACCTGTGATGCTAAGAAAGCAAATCATTATTTCTTGCAGCAGTTCCTAAGGCACTAAATAAAGAAGTTTTATTACAGCCGAAAAATCACTTTCTCTTCTCTTCCCCTTGGTTTTTTTCTGTATATGAACATGTCCATGGGACTGTGCTCAATGACATATGACATTGTGGCTTTTGTGTCCAGTCATTGGTAGGAAGTTCTTCAGCATAACCATCTGGGAGAGTTTCTCTCCAATTTTGATAATAGAGGGAAAAGTTAACTGGGCTGCCATAAAACAAATAAAGAGAGGAGAAAAAGGAAACCCCAGTGCCTTTTGTTAAGGAGGAACAGATGTACAGCCATAGCAGCCTGCCAGCTAGGTCAGGTCATATCAAATATTGTGGTTGTTTTCTTGTAGCCTGATCCTCCTTTTGAACTCTCTTTCAGCAATGAAGTTGTAAGGAATGAATTAAAGAAGCTGCCAGCCCTTCCGACGCCGGCGCTGAAGGAGCATCCTTCCCTCGCTTACTGGTAACGTATCTCTCTGCTCAGCAGCTTTGCACTGTCTTGTGAAGGACGTGGCTCTGGCAGTAAGTGCTCCGAGAGTGGAAGTGGGATGCAGGGATTCCTGCCTTCTAGCTCTGGGTTTGCCACCGACTCACTGCATGAGTTAACACAAGTGGAACTACCCTGCTGGGCCTCAGTTTCCCTGTCTGCCCCGTGTCTGGGTCAGAAAATTCGCTGTAAACATGCAAGTGTCCTGATGAAATCAAGAGGCCTAATGTGCCATTTACTTCCTTGCGCTTTGTATCTGTGAAAGAGTTTTCCTGGCTGGAAATGTCATGTTTTGCACTGCTCTGTGTTATTTTGAGTGATTCAGTTTCATCTTGCAAATCTTCTCTGTGTGGCATAGATGAACTATAAGGGATATATTTTCTCCTTTTATATGAACTAGGTGATGTTTGGAGGTGGATGCTTGTTTGCTCTGTCTTTATCGCACTAAAAATTAAATTCGGGATAGGAACAGGGTCACAATTAAATTTTATGTGCCCCACACATAGATTCTTTGTGCCACCCTGCAATCCCTTTTATCTGTGCAAATAGGAAAGTATTTGGGGAAAGATTGTTCATTAAAAGGGAGATGCTTTCACTTGATTTTCTGCTTGCTGCTCTTTCATGTTTGCCTTTAAAGCATTGGGCTGCAAGCCTGGGGGTTGGAGAGAACTCCTTTATCTGCTACTCTCTTAATTTCTCCATTTTAGTAAATCTGAGGATGGCAGGGAGGAAACAAATCAGTTTGTAGGATATGATCTCAGTTCTTCCCTTTGCCAAGAAGGTCATCCACTTCTCCTTGCATGGCTACAATACTGGAATTAGCTGTAGCTCATGCCAAGCCATAGGCCAGCTGGTCTGTGAGGTCTCACTTTCTGAGAACATCAGAGCATCAGAAGAGATTTGGAGTCCCCAGTTGAAATCAGGATCACTAACACAAAAGCTGAGGATCATCACAGTGTCCTGGTGTTTCTCTCTAAGAACAAAATCAGTCTTTGTGAAAAATTATAAGTGTAAGCTGCAGTTTCATTGAAGAAGAATGGTCTTCCTCTTTGGAGCATCTCTTTTCTTTTTCCAAAAACTAATCCACACACTCAAAGCAGTACATTTCCAGCCAGTTGGTGGCCTGGCTGACTGATAGACTGAGAGCTCAAGCTAAAAGGCATCATGAGAGGAATGGTGGGAACAAGTAGGCAGTGACAGGGAAGGCAAATCTGACTCTTCAGCAGCAACATGGCCTGAGCTCTTATTAAAGTGACCACATAGCAAAAAGGGTTGTGTAAAATCTTCATGCTCAGAATGTATTTGCAGTTATACACAGGGTACAACACTTCTTACAGCTGTACTTAATTTGGGGGGGGCTCTGTGACTGAGAATAAGTCACAGGTTGGGAAGATGGTGTTGCCAATGGGGCAATAAAATCAGAGGCTACAGTCCTGTGACTCCCTTGTGATTTCATGCCAGTAGCCAGGTCTCAGAGATCTCTTGTACATTAGTAGTTCATTATTTTTTAATGGTGGCTTTTTCCTAAACACCCTCTGAAACACTGAATGCTCTCAAGAAGAGTCTGTTGGCGAATCAGACAAAAAGCCTCTAAAATACAGATCAAACTTCAGTGATCTAAGGGAGGAGATTTTTAAAACTGTGTTCTCTGACATTTCTGCATCTCATGCAGGTTATCATAATGGATACAGATTTCATCCTGTCCTTTTCTGTGTGCAGTCAGTTTTATGCTGCAGTACTTCAGCATTAGCACAAACAGTAACAAGTGAATCTCCCAACTCTGGAAAGAAACTTTTAAAACATTAGAGGTGGGATGGGTAACGGCTCTAGTTAGTTTAAAACAAACAAACAAAAGAACTTTGTACTATATTTTTATCAGCTGAAATGGATTAAGAGATAATAAAATGGATAATCAAACAAATACTATGATATCTTTGAAAAGATGCTATAATAGGTCTGCATGAAATGATATAACATTTCCATCACAGACCATGAAAAAGCCTCACCATTGCTCCTACCAAATGTATTAAGATCTGTGGGATGAGTCCTGGCTTCTTAGATCAGCACAGTTTGTGCCTCTGACTCCACCTTCATGGAGTCTCCTGGTTCCATACCCTTGCTTCAGGTCTTTCTCTTCACTGTATTGTCTTCCTGTTTATGGACTTCACAACAAAGTGGAAGGTTTTAATTTTTATATCATCAAGTTGCTGTTTCCAGCTTTCTGCAGGTTCAGAATAATCAGTTCCACATCTTGTTCTCAAGCATCTATTGGCATCACTGATTACTGGTGAAATAAAAAAGGGGATTCTTGGTGGGTTTGTTTGTGTTTCTTTTTCTTCTAAATGAAAGCTGAACTTCTGGCCTTCCCACACAATCCAGGAGTGGGTCTCCTGACTTTTGATTTCTCTTGCCCATTCACGGAAACAACAGACAGTATTTATTATTTTAGACACAAAACTAGTCACAGAGGCTGGAGATAACCTTTAGAAAATGTGTTAACTCACATTGCTCCTTTCCAGCCACTGTCATTGCATTTTATCTCAGTTCAGATACTCCCTAGCAAACCATCCCAGTACTGGGTTGTCAGTAAGAAAGCCAGGAGGAGATGCAACTGCACAAAAATGGTTGCTAAAATGGGATTTTCAACAGATCAGGGTAAGATAGACTTCTCCCAAGTTCACAGAGATTTCGAATGTGAACTTGTTTTTAGCAACCTAAAGCACCAGTGTTGCCAGAAAACCCACCTCTGAAAATATCAGCTGAATAGTGATTTTCTGTAGTTCAACACAGACTTGAGGCTCTGGTCCTGCTCCTGGTCCCTTGGCCAAAGAGATGCTGGTTGCTTCAGTGGGACAGTGTATGACTGCAAATAAATACATTAGTAAATTCAGGAATATAATCAAAATGGACAAATCAGGTTAGAAACAGAATAACACTAAGGAACAGCAATGAGTGGACAGCTATTTAAAATAGCTCAGTGTGCTGGGAAGAGAGGGAGGGAACAATTACCTTTTAAAATCTGGATTTGATGATGAGAAACTCAGAGCCTGCATCTGCATGCAAGTTGTCTGCTGTCCAGTTCTGTAAGCTGCTGGGGCAGGAGGGATTTCTCGGCAGTTCTAAAGATCTTTATCTGAGTTGTCTGCTGTAGGATATCATCCACATTTCTGCAGCTTTGGGGGGAAAGTTTTATGAGCTGGCAAACAGACGATAGTGCTCCAGCAGACCCCTGTCTCCACATTAGTTAAACATCCTCTGCCAGCCCTGCACTGTGAATGAGTTTCTGTGTCACCAACACAGCAACAAGGCAGAGCAGGGGGAGAGGAGACGTCAGCTGGTGGTCCCAGCAGTGTCCCAGCACTCTCCCAGCTGTCAGTAGCAGCATGGCAGCTGCCTTGAATGAACAGCTGAAATGACAGGGGAGCATATTTGTAGGCTCTGCTAATGCTCCTTTTGACCCCTGAATGATGTTGCTTGTTTTCCCTGGCACATGCTGGGCTTAGCCCTCTGTCCCAGAGCAGGAGGCAGAGAGTGACTTCTGTGCTGGATGACCTTCTGTCACACAGCCGAGGTGGGATTGACCTGACTGTGAACGTTTTTTCGATGTGGATCTCACTGTCTGAGCTGGGTGCCCTCAGCTCCCTTTGCTGCCAGTGGAGAGAAGCAACAGTAACGTCCTCCCAAGGAAGCCATCCAAAATAAATTGGATGAATCATGCTCTGGAGTACCTGTTTCTTTCCCCAAAGTGCGACTAGCCCAGTGCTGCAGAAAAGGGAAAGACAGCAGATCCCTCTCAATATTCATGGCTTGATTGATAATTCAGGCTTTACTTTTTTTTCCAAAAGAAAGAAGAAACAAGGATTATAGTTTTCTGGGACTTAACGTCTGTACACCTCAAAACATTATACAAAGGGAGATCATCAGTATCCTAAGAGAGCAATGGAGGCATTTGTTTAGGAGAACTGGATAGAGCCTGAACTATCCCACATTTCTAGCATGGGCTACAAACATAACTTTATTCATTCTGCTGTTCAGGAAGGCTCCCTGACATCTGATCTGTCCTTTTGAAGGAAATGGTCCATCGATTGGCTTCCCTACCCAAGGGGTATGGTCTGGGAACATATCAATTATTTTATAATAATCATTTGTAAGAAAGCAGAGCACATCCGGAATCACACTGTAGGTACATGTATCCTTTCCTTGAATGGCAGCAATCCGAGAGCTTGATCTGTGCAATAAACTGCACAAAAGTAGAAACCAAAGCTGAGCGTTTTCCACTGGAGAAACTCCGTTGTTTTCTAAGTCACTCCTGGTTCGTTCCTGTCTGAGGCACAGGAATGGCATCCACATGTAATCATGATTTTAAGAGGTAATTTCAAAGGGCTGTAAGCCCTCTCTGTCTATCTTTTTTATTAAGAATGATGTTTTTTGGAGATCTTCCAGTACTGAACACTCATGTAATTCAGTTATTGCTCCAAAAGTAATCCTGTTTATGATAATCATGGCAGGAGACCTGGGCTCTGCCTCTATGTGCACGCCCATAACATCTGTGGTACTTGCTTGGATCAGTGCACTGAATATGGTTTCATAGCTGTAGAATTTACAGCTTACAGATCATTTTCTAAGCATCAAATTTATTCTGAGGGATTTATTGTGAGAGCTGGACGATTGCTTTACCCATGTAATTTGTCACTGGCTCAGTCAGCACCCTGTACCTGCTATGGCCTGCTGGTGGCACTTTGCTTCACCTTGCCCCAAAAAGAGCCCTTTTATTTTTGCAGGAGGAGTGGGGGAAGTCACTCGGTGAGTGAGTAAGGAAAGCAGTTACTCCAGACAAATGACAGGCTTGTGGGGGAACAACTGGTCCTGCCAACAATCCAACAGACTATCTCTGTTGCTCTGTGCTGCCTATGTTGGTGTTTCTGGTTCTCTCCCTTTCTCTCTGCATTACCAGGGGTGCACAGTCCTCAGCTCCCCCACGTCCCTTCTTTCTGAAAGATGTTTTGGCTCTGGAGATTCTGACTATCTTTCTAAAAGAAATTCTGTCCTCTCTGGAACAGGGATACACATGGGGAAGGCAGCAATGAAAAGATGCAGTCATGTTAGCTGGGCTAGTGAAACACTTTGCAATTTTCCACAAAAGTCCCCATGGGCATCTCTAAGCAGTTGGGATGAGGTCATCTACCAGACCATCCCACACCACTGTGCTCCTTCACGCTGTCTAGCAATGCAAATAGCTTCAGTTCTGCCTGGGGAAGGATTACTGCATGGTGGACAGCCTTGGTTGCTTTTAAATGCCCCATTAGGGGCTCCCACTGGACCAAGGAAATGCAGGGAGGGAGGAATGCCAGTGCACATTGCCTTGAACCACACACAGCATGATGGCATGGGACAGACACTCCGTACTGCGGAAGCTTATATGGGGCTGGGTGGGGAGGGCACAAAGGTGGCATAGAGTTTATATTTCCCTCCTCTTGAGCTGGTAAGGTCTGTGCAGTATCTCCAGGGGACTCAACAGATTTCCTGTCCTCGGTGTTACAACATAAAGAGCAAGAAATTCGGTTTAGACTTGAGTACTCTGTCCTGCCAGCGTAACAGAGCTGGTCCTGTGGGCATTACATTGGATCCTTGGCTTATACTTTGCCAGGCTGTGACTTTGCTAGCACAGCTGATTGTATGCATCAAATAGCTCTGGTTCTATGCTCTCCTGCTTCCCATTCACTGGAGAAGAAAGAATGAAATTCTTCAATCTGTCATTTGGGTCATGCTGATCTCTCTTGGATGCTCCATCTCTACTGTGTATCGGTACATGCTCGGGACCGTTCTCTAACACAGAGGCCCACTGGTGGGGAACTGCCTCTGTGTTTCACTGTGGAACACATTCAGACATGGCTTATGTCTTCTCTAAGGCATGAAATGGTCTTAGTCTCGTTGTTGGGAATGGGGCCTGGCTCATGCCAACTCCCAGTGCACAGCCAGGAGTTGCCTGGGAGAATGCAAGTTAGTAAAACCAAAAAGTAAGCAAAGGCACATCGGTACTTTAACAGTAAAGTGACCCGAGTTTGAGTGCCTTGGAAACATCCCCTGCCACTGTTTAACCTGCTGATATAGATGTTGCCTCTGTGTACACTAGGAATTCAACTCCCTGCTGAGAGAGATTGCTCCAGAGTACTTCCACTAGTGCTCCTGCACATGGTTTTGTGCAGTTGCAGGGAGGAGTAATCTGTGAGTCTTAGGGCTGTTACTGACCACCAATTTCTGAACAGTTTTGCCCATCTTTCAGAGGACATGATGGGCTTGAAAAGAAGTTGCACCAGCCAGGTCATAGTAGAGCTTGAGCAGCTTTATCACCAATCTGTTTGCCCACAATGTAATATCATGGATATTGTTTATAGATAAGGAAAGGATTGCAGAGAGAGGAAAGTCTGTACAAGTAGGTACCATGTCTGTGAGGAAAAAAGATTCTTTCAGAAAACCAACTCTTAGAAAACCATTTCTATTCTCAGTCTGTGACTCCTGCTTGTTTACCCCTAGGCACTAAATCCCCTCATCCAGTGGGTATGCTTGGCATCTTTTGATTCCCTCAGTCAGTAGCTGTGTTAACAGAAGTATCTTTTCACCTTCTGGTGAGACTCTTGGTCACTATAATGCCAATATATAAAACATCCAATTCTTTCCTTTCCAGTGAGGATCGAGTCATTGAACATTACAAGAAACTAAATGGTCAGACAAGAGGTCAAGCAATTGTGAAGTAAGTGAAATAAGTGTGATTTCTTTGTGACCTTTTTTTTATTAGAAAACATTTATACAGGACTGTATAAATAATATAAATAAATATAAATATAACATGTAACTATGTTTTCCATCTCATGTTGCTTCATTTTTAAGTATTATGCACTTAACTATTTACTTATCAAAGCATTTTTTTTTCAGAGCATCCTCTCAGCTTCTCACACATGTTATTCTCTTCTGTGTTGTTTTGCAGTTACATGAGCATTGTAGAATCCCTCCCAACATATGGAGTGCATTATTATGCAGTAAAGGTACGTGCTACAAGAAGGGTTCACTGAATTAAACTGTTGTTGGAGAGGGAGGGAGAGAGGTACAAACTGCCATCCTGCTTTCAGAATACAATACACTGCTACTAAAGTCTTGTTTCACTTCCTGTGGTAGGATAAACTTATTTCAACTGTGTGTGCATGTTTAGTAAATACAGCTCCAAAGAGGAAAATCCTGCTTTTGCAGATAAAACTCTTGCAGCTCTATTGTGCTGGAGTGTTCAGTGCACAAGCAGTAGCAAGCTCTGGTGATGCCAATGAACCCCCACCAAAGAGACGAGCCAGACCCATCTCTGGCAGATATGATGCTTCACTCCTTTTTGTAGTTCCAGGAAGTCAGGCTTTTCCCAGCCAGCAGATCCATGAGCAACTAAGTAGGGCCAGACATGATCTGCATACTGCAGCTCCCCTCACATGAGATACATGAGGGGATTCCACACAGGTATTCATGAAATCCCTCATTTCTTTAGTCTAAAGATTTATCACCAAAACTTGCAGCCTCAGATTATTATTATGACTTCCTTGCCTGACCAGCTGCCTCGGGGTTGTTATTTTTTTTTAAGTAGAGGAATCAATAAATATATAAAGAAAGCTAGATACACACTCCCCAGAGCATATTCCCTCGTTTATCACCCACTGAAGTTTTGATGTGTTTCATCATTATCTCTGTGTACAGGTCATATGGGTTTTCATGCATCTGTAATGTCTTGCACACATGAGGTACCATAAAAACACAAATATCCAACTGTACCTGTCCCCGGAGATGAGTTTCTAGTCTATTCCTGCTAATGCATACACAAAATAAGGTGTATTATTTTGCAAAAAGCATTAGCCTCATCCTTTCCCAGAGGATAGGATCCCTCCAGCGCCCTTTGCATCCAGATCTCTTGGACTACTCTAGATCAAGAAAAATCTTCTGGATTGGGCTTGTTATTCAATCCTGCAAACACTGGAGAGCTATTCCAGTGAGCTCCCTATGATCAGTAAGCAGCAGTGAGTAGCAATGAGGCAGCAAATATTGCACATAATAGGTTTTGCTTCTGCCTGATGTGGGGGTTTTGGTTTTGCTACGTTTTACCCTGCCACTCTCTATCACATTAACAGAGCAGATGTAATTTCATTGAGGACTCCAGCTCAGTAAATTGCAGAGGCTGGGATCAGATATCAGCCATTACTCCATAAGGCCATTTTATTGCACACTCAGACACAAAGCAGTTGGGTCCAAGCCTGTCAGACCTTATCACTTCGTAGCTCTCAGATCCCATTACTACTGCATTTTCAAGACTAATGCTAAAATCCCTCCACATAATTCAAGTCAGCTGGGTGATTCGCTTTCCTTTCTCTCCAGTCTGAGTGTTCAGACTGTATAATTTACAGGGCAGAGAAAGAAGATGCACCACTGCACAAAGGACTCATGTCAAACCTCCTCAGCTCCCCTGACAGTATTTTGAGTAACTTGATCACATGTGATGTATTTTAAATGGTTTTATTTGTCGTGGCCAAAAGTGAAACAGATCTCTCCTAAACACCATGGAGCTTAGTGACTTGAGGGAATTCAGCAAGGGGAAATTTAACAGCACCCATTCAAAGATATTGCTTAGAAATAAATATTCGTCTTGAACAACAACCTAGGAAATCTCCAACATTTCCCCATCCTATTCAATATAACTCCCTCTGTTTTCTCTTCCAGGACAAGCAGGGAATTCCATGGTGGTTAGGACTTAGCTACAAGGGGATTTTTCAATATGACTACCATGACAAAGTGAAACCAAGAAAGGTAAGTTGTTTACTTTTCTATCAATGTCTGGGCTTGCCACACATGTTATAGCTCGAGTCAAGGGTGTGATGTACACCAAATGCTGGCACTGATTCATGTGATTTTGAAGGACATTCACTTTCTCCCAAACTTGTCTGAACGTCTGCAAAGAATTAATGGACAAAAGTAGCTCATAATTTATTGAATGTTGTGGGTTTGGGGGGAAATAAGCATCACTTAATCTTGCAACTTATGCTCCTTTTTCTGTGTGGTTCATAAAACATAATGGGAACTGAAGGACTGATCCTCTCAGATGCTGGAGGCCTTCTATTCTCTGGCTATGGCAGGATTGGGGGTGCTCAGCCAGCTCTTGATACTGTACTGCCAAGCCATAAATGATCTGAGAGAGAGAGAGTACGAGAGACAAGAAAGCTGCTTCCATTTATTACAAAAAGAAAACTGCATGGTTTTCTCAGGACTAGCATTACATTTGAAAAGCAACAACTTTACTAACTGAAGAGTTAGTGTTAGACTAGGAAGTAAAGTCAACTTTCTTCACATTCCTGAAAAAAAAGGCATTAAAAAGTTTGTGTCCCCTATCTGATTTATTTAGGAACTTTACTTTGAAGCAGTTTACAAATCAAGGCATGGCACACATAGATCTGGTCACAAAAGCTAGAGCTTGGTCAGTGAGGACTACCCATTCCGGTCTCTTTGTTAGTATTTTTAGTGGGGCATTCAATGCATTTGAAAACCAGGATTTGTCTCAGTCCTTCCAAATTGCCTGTGAAAAATCCAGCTAGTCAATGTCCTCTTGATTTGGGACGGTTTGATTCCCCGAGCTTATCCTATGAAGTGGACCCATGTGTTCTGATTTTCCTACCTAAGATGTCATCTAATATGGAAAAGCTCATCCCTGAGCACAGGCCCTGCAGGTGGGCATGCACAGCCTGTTAACAACAGTATCTGTTGTGCTGGAAACCCATGGAGACAGCAGCGGACAAGGTTTCGGGCTTCCTAGCAGGCTGCAGAACTGGATTACTTGAAGCAACTAGGCAGCTCTGCTGTGGATACAAAAGCTTCCACAGTGAATTAATGTACTGGATTTCTCTTCACACTGTCTCTGTGCCAAGGTCCCCTCCCCTTCTTTCCCCTTTCACTGCATTGAAGTTAGATATTGCCTTAGTAGAGAATATCTTCTATTAAAATGGACTATAATCAAGGTTTTGTAGAAACCTGAACTGCTAAGGAGGCAGCAAGAGGTAACAGGTGGATCAATTAGCCTTTTATTTGCTGAAGGCTATTAATGGAGCTTTTTATTCACTGAAGGAAAGCATAAGAGGAGGTCTTCACAGAGTATCTGTGCTCTAAAAGACACATCTCTTTGGGATCAATCATTACCTGCAGGGCAAGCCATACTCACACGTGATAGCTTAAAACATGCCTAGGCTAGGTGTTTGCACCTACATATCTCCAGTAGTGCCAACACTCCAGGAAAGTCATGTCCTTTAAAGATGCCTTCAGAAGTCAGTCTTAGGAATGGAAACATTTCTTTGGAAGAAAACAGTGCTCTGCCATGACAGGACTCAGCCATTCAAAAGCTATAGCAATTATTGTCAACCCTTTTTTCAGCTTTCTCCTCTTTCCTCAGCTGCTCAGGGTGATCTGGTCTGTAGCGTTGGTTTTAGAGCTTGATAACATGTTGGCCAGCCTCTCTGTGTCCCCACTAAACTACCTCCAGTGCTCACATTGTCCGTCGAAGCAGGACCTTTAGGCATCTCCAATCCTTTTTCTGCAAGTGTAACCCTAAAAAATAAGGTTTCCAATTTTGTCTGTATTAGGAAATATTTTTTTCTCAGAAAATTATGTATGAAATCCAGGAGACCCAAAACAATGGTGCTGCCTTATGTACAAACCACGAAGAACTTCTGTGGCCTAGCAGAAGTGGTCATAAATCTAGGAGGGAAGGTTGGGTGGGAAAGGAGAGTAGGAATTTCCGGGCTAGAATTTGTCCATTACCACAGTCCAGAGACCACAGCAGTGAAAAGACAGCCTAGATGAGCATTTCTCTTGTTATATGATGCTTGCAAACCCCATCTGTTGGCAGGGCTGTTCCAAAGTGAACAGCCTAAATCAGGGACAGGACTTGGACGGAGTGGCTGAGGCTTTGTTACTTCTCCATGGAGAGATTTTACCTGCTCTGGAGCAAGTAAAAAGACTTCTTACCCTACACAGGTGGTAAAACCCCTCTGGCAAGAGCAGCTCAACTGCCTCAGCAAGGCACAGTGTTTAATCCTCTGCTAATTAGATTGCAAAATTGCACTTGATAACCCTGGTATCTGGGAGCAGCTCACCATAGTATCTGATTCATTTCACTACAACAGCATGGGCTGGTTCGAGTCTTTGCCGTGCAAAAGGGAGGGGTAAACCTGACTGAACTTTCTGCAAGGTAAAATTAGAGGGGGAGGGGGAAAGAGATTCTGTCTTTTCTGATCTCTATTATTTTGTTCATGCACACTGTCGATGCCAGAAACAAATTGAAAAATTACAATGGAAAAATACATCTCCCTGGAAGAAACTCAAGCAGCAAATTGTAGCAAGAAACCAGCTGAAACCAAGACATTTATATTAAATGCCTATAAAAAACTTGCTTGTCTTATAAGAGAGATTGTAATGTTTTTCTATATGTCATTCCAGATAGATTTCCATGCTTATTGTGTTTGCGAGTAAAACTGTAACCCACACTAAGCAGCTGAACCTATCTTGGGCGATCCTATTAGCAGTCACTCAAAAGCATGTTTTTAATAAATTGCTGGAGTAAATCAGCCATGTGTCTCTAGAAAACTAACCAGGTTTGTCATCAAGTTGGATGAGGCTGGAGAGGAGAATTGAGGCTGATGCAGGGCCAGAACCTGATCCTGCCTGTGCTATTCTCACTCAGGCTTAAGTCCTCCAGAATCATGGGGGATGCAGCTGAGATGGATATCTAGCACCTAGTCCTAGGTGGTTCAGATGGGAATGCAGGACTATTAAACTGGAATGCAGTTGTACCTGGGCTGCAGAGACTAATGTGTCTCCATGCTTCTATTTTTATGTTCCTTCCTGCCTATGCTTGAATTCTGCAAAAGCCCTGAAGCCACGCAAAGCCATCACTTGGAGGCTTATCCTTTTTCTTCTGTATGTTCAGGACTAGCTCACAGGCTCAACAAGCCCTGCCAAACACTTCCTCTTGAATGCTGCCTGTTTAAATGGGGATTTCGTTCTTATCAGTTCAGTTTTAGATATTAAATAATTACAGAAGTTTTGGTATACTTCACAAAATCCATCGCTCCAGCTGAACAAGAGGAAGGGAGTAGCAAGTGTGGAAAGATGGCTGCTGTCCTGCCAACCATATACTGAGGCATTCTGGACATTTGGTAGTGGCTTTGTGGAACCAATGTCATTTGTGTGGCAGCAGTGAGCAGCATCCAGGGTGGGCAGAATCCATCTCCCTCTGTGTAAACTTAGCTTCGACAAACCCTTCCCTATTAAGAGAACAGCCTTCAGGCCCAGTGTGCCTCGAAAAAGGAAAAAAAAAAAAAAAAGAAGTCATTNAAAAAAAAAAAAAAAAGAAGTCATTGTCCTCCCAGGCTCTGCCCATCTTGGGTCAGCACCATCCAGTATTCATGATAAACCAAAGCAAATTCTTTGGAACCTGGTCTTCAGGCAGGATGTGCCAGTACCACTCTCCTACAAGATGCTGAGGCTGTGGTGACCAAGATGCTGAGGCTGTGGTGACCGGGTCGTTTTCAGAGGAGGGTCATTAGAGGGTTTTTCTCTTGAATTGCAGAGCGATTACAAAGAGAGCACAAGGCACTGCAGCCCCCCATGTGACCATTTGTCTGTGAGTGGTGTGTGTCCATTTTAACCAGCAGGCAGGGGTGTAGCTAAACTCCATCCCCAGAGACTTGTACGTGAAGGAGGAGCGGTGTAGCCTGGAGCTGTGAGATCTGCACACCCAAGTAGTAGCACTAGGCATATCTCTGTTGTTCTAGTGAGATATTCCCATTGATTTAAGAGCCCAAAGGCATTTCTTAGTGCATACAGCCTAACAGTTAGTAAACAATTAACTCCAAGCTGAAGAGTGAATGATTAACAAAGTCAGCCAAAGGACTTCCATATGGCCAATAAACAGGCAGAGAAAATGTTTAACTTATCACAAAAATAGTGACCTTAAAGGAGAGTCTGGGAGTGTTTAGTTGCTTTGTAAGAAATATCTCTGTACAGTGTTATTCCATTTTCTTCTGTAGAAAGCTAGTGACAACGAAACCTAAGGTGAGCCTTTTTTCTCAGGCTCATAAACATTATCACCGCTCAGATTCTCTGATTGAAGAGAACCCAAAGGGAATAAAGACTTTTTGGAAAAAAATGTGAGGCATCCCAAATGTCAGACATGAATGTAGCTTGACAAAAATTTTCCCTGTGACAAACATCAGTTTCTGCCATTTCCTCCCGGCATTTCTCTGGGATGAAACGAAGCATGCTATGAAAATGCTCTGTCCCTTGCCATAAACTCTCCACAACATTCTGTGGATTCTCATTACAGAAAAATTTAATCTGTAGTTTGTAGTGTTTTTGTTGAATCCAAAGCAAAGATTGACTTCCAATTTAAACATGCAAAAACAAGAGCTGAGTTGGACCCATCCTACCAAGCAATGCAAAGTCAAGTCAAGTCAGTAGCTTTAAGTGTTTGATCAAAGAGAAATCACCTGCTTGTCAAAAGCATGAGCAAAGTAATCAGCACATTAACTGTGTCCAGAAAGTGAAAGATTGCTGTCTGATGCCACTTGGCCTTTTCCAAACAAGAGACAGAGTGAACTTTCCCAATTCCAGAGGCAAAATGGGATATTTACACAGGAGGAGCAATAGCCTAATTAAGAGCTGCTTTATGGCAGAACAAATAGATCCTCTCTGCTTTAGGGCATAATGAAGCACTGTCAAGCCAGTAATTGCATTGATAGAGTGGTTAAACTTGTGCTTCC